TCTTGTTGTACGTAACTATTTTTTAGGTTGAGAAGCTTGTTTAGTCCCATTAAGGCAGGGCTTTGGAATATTTCTTCCCAACCTTTCTCTGCTGAGTAACGCCTTCTTTTCCTCCACATGTAACCAAAGATATTTTACTCTCCTATCGGGCACTTATCTTGCTCACAAAGGACGGCATCTTTATCCCTCTTACCCCTGCGAAATCACACTGCTTGGTTCTGTCTGAATGGCTCACTAATACATATATTGCCATCTACTGTACTGGCCTGTGAAAACACACAAGTTTCCAGTACCAGAGAATCAGCCCATCCTTGGCTCTTTATTAGAGAAAAGCAAGGCCATTCCCCATGCTCTGCCCTAGCCTGCAGCTGCTTCAAATATTTATCTACCTTCCCCTTGGAAAATTTGACTGTCCCTCCTTACTCTGCCAACGAACACACTCCATACCTTCTCAACTTTCTGTACCAATGCATTCCTCTTAATTACTTCAGTGCCAGTTGAAACTTATAACCTCCTATCACTGATTCCTACTGCTCACTGGAGGAATAACTCTGCACTTGGGTATTTTCCCAATCAACCTGTTGAGAGATGTTATTGTACAACTCTGGAGGAGACAGGACTTGCACCTAGACTACCCAGATCATAGTATGGACATTACCTCCACACCAGAAGAATCCCACTTCTCTAATCTTAGTCACCCTTTCAAAAGCCTTCATTAAGTCTCTAGTGAAGATCTTCACCTTTTCTCTGGTCCACTGTCTTAGATGTTGTCTTTTAATTCTGGAGCCTCATTCCTGACACTATCTGATAATTTGCACTCGTTAAAATTTCTAATCTAACTCCTAGAAGTGCACCATAACTTTGCTATTCTAAGTCCTTGTTTGCAAACCTATGTGTCAATGGCTTTTTATGGCTTTATCTACATGTACTTGAACTTTCTCTTCATCACACCCTTGAGTTCATTTTCATTGCCTATATTCTCTTCATTTTCCTGCTAAAATATTTAATCTCTGCCTTAAATTGCACCTGCCACCTGCTCACCAATTCCTTTTAAAGGTTCCAACTTTTTTACCGAGTTTGTAAGGTGTTGTATTCCTAGAATTTATTTACTTAAATTGAGAAATAAATTTGATGGACCAATGCATATTATGTACAGCATAACTGAGTTTGGAAGAAGAGGCAAGGTGAATCGAAAGATCTGATTAAGCCAAATTTTGGACCAAGCCTATTGTCTATAGAAGGAGGAGGAAAGCCATTGGAAGAAGGAAATGAGTTTGAGGAGAGAGTTTAATGCATTTCATTTCATTACTCTGGGAACAATGGGATAAAAAATAAGAGCAAGTACATCTCCTAATGGCCTGTGTCAGGGAACTTTGCACAATTTTAATCTGATCTTCCCTTTCCACTACTGCATGCTCTTATTTAAAATATGTTCAAAATAAGCTTTCAATACTTCCTCCAACAGATGATTGCTGTTACCACCCAGGTGTTCCAATCTTTCATGATGCACTCAAGGTAGGTATAAATGCATAATCTATTTCCAGAAATAATTAACTTGAGAAAAAAAGAGGGATTTGAATAGCATCAGAATGGGTATGATCTGGATGCAGCTTCTTAATCTGACTTTGTGGCCTGTTTCTTTACTCACCCTCCAAAATGATTTTCCCATTCTTTAACCTTTCATGCCATGTCATATTGCGAGTATCAAACCATTCAACCAACCTCTAGAGATGAAAGTGACACACATTTATGCCACACAAATGCCAGGCAATATCATTGACCAGAAACTCAACTGGACTTGCTACATAAATATAGTGGCTACAAGAGTAGGCCACAGGCCAGGGATACTGCGGTGAGTAACTCAACTCCTGACTCCCCAAAGCCTGTCTGCCATCTACGAGGCACAAGTCAGGAGTGTGATGGAATACTCCCCACTTGCCTGGATGAGTGCAGCTCCAACAACACTCAAGAAGCTTGACGTCTTCCAGGACAAAGTAGCCCGCTTGATTGGCACCATGTCAGCACGCATCCACTCCATCCACCACTGATGCTCAGTAGCAGCAGTGTGTACTATCTACAAGATACACTGCAGAAATTCACCGAAGACCCTTAGACAGCACCTTCCAAATCCATAACCAATTCCATCTAGAAGGACAAGGGCAGCAGATACATGGGAACACCATAACCTGCAAGTTCCCCTCCAAGCCACGGACCATCCTGACTTGGAAATATGTCACTGTTCCTTCATTGTCACTGGATCAAAATCCTGGAATCGCCTCTTTAAGGGTGTTTTTTATTGACAACACGTGGACTGCAGTGGTTCCACCTTCTCAAGAGCAATTAGGGACCAGCAATAAATGCTGGCCCAGCAACGACTCTCACGTCCCAAGACTGAACTAAGAAAAAACCTGATCTTTCAGCAAACATTTGAATTGCTCATGGCTTCACCTTCAATGCCACTCCATTGGTAATACAAATAGCCTGCAGGTGAGCATTTGCAGTTATGAAACTATGTTCCACTACTCTGAATTATTCAGGGGAATCGAGAGTTATCGGGTGTAGATGGGAATGTAGAATTTGAAATTCAAACAGACGATCCATGAAAGGGGGGAAGCCCCGTATTTTCAAACTGTGTCCCCTAGTTCTAGTCTGCCCCCCACAAGAAATATGTACCTGTCAAGTCCCCTCAGGATATTATATATTTCAATAAGATTACTTGTCCTACTTCTGAACTAAAATGAATATAGTTCAGCTTGTCTATCCTTCCTGCACAAAGTAAGACCCCCATCCCAAGTGTTCATCAAATAAATTTTCTGCGAACACCTTCTAATGCATTTACAAGCTTTCTAATGTAAGGAAATCAAAACTGTGTAAAGTACTCCAGATATGGCCCCACCAATGTTCTGTATAACTGGAGGAAAACATCTTTACTTCCATATTCTATTCCCCTTGCAAAAATGACAACATTCTATTTTTCTTCTTAATCACTTCCTGTACCTGTATGTTAATTTTGTGATTCACATACCAGCACACACAGATTACTCTGTACCTCTTAGTTCTGTAATCTCTTTCTAGTTAAATAATATGTTGCTTTTCTGTTCTTGAATTTACCACCATGTGTGTCCAATGATCCCTACTGCAGACTTTAGAGATTCTTGGTACCAAAGCATATACAAATTAAATGCCTTCTCTATCTGGACATATTTACGCTTTGTGCTGCAGAAATTCACCAAAGATCCTCAGACAGCATCTTCCAAACCCACAACCACTTCCATCTAGAAAGACAAGGGCAGCAGTTATATGGGAACACCACCACCTCCAAGTTCCCCTCCAAGCCACTCACCATCCTGACTTGGAAATATATCGCCATTCTTTCACTGTCACTGGGTCAAAATCCTGGAATGTCCTCCCTAATGGCATTGTGGGTCAACCCACAGCAAGGACTGCAGTGGTTCAAGAAGGCAGCTCACCATCACCTTCTCAACGGCAACTAGGGATGGGCAAGAAATGCTGGCCAGCCAGCGACACCCACATCCTACAAATGAATAGAAAAATAAATTAGCCAAATTCTTGGATGCATACGCTATTGGGCCTACCTCTCCATTAGGCTACCTATGTGCTAATACTACCCCGATGCCATACAGGGAGGCATCGCATGTCAGTATCAGATCTCAGTTGAGACCATATTGTGCCAACTCCTTAGAGGATGATAACTGTTTCTTCACTTCCCTGAAAGTTATGGCTTGGCTATGCAACTATTTCCAAGGCTGACCCTTTTTTAAGAGTTGATGCAAAGGTGCTAGGATGGAGGCCAGGTTATGTATAACTTTCCATAATAATTCAGCAACCCAAGGAAAAACCTAAGCTCTGGTACAGACGTGGGAGCTGGAGCACCTTTGATCAACCTCAGTTTATCTTCCAATTGCTGTACCTCTGTCTTGTTGACTCTTTAGCCCAAGTCGGTCAGTTAGGGTGCCTGGAACACCTACTTTTCTTTCCTTATGTATATGCCCGCCTGGGAGAAGTGTCTAAGGACTATGCCCAAGTTCTCTAAGTACTCCTTATTGGTCTTCGTGGTTATTAGAAAGTCATCTAGATAGATGTTGACCTGAGGTAGACATTGTAAAATGTTCTCCATTATCTGCTGAAATAATTGCACAGGCTGACGATACCCCAAAAGGCAGTCTCATATATTGGTACAAACGCTTATGGATCTTAATTGTAGCTTTCTTTTTGGAATCCTCATCTAACCACAATTGCAAGTATTTATGGCTTGTGTTCAGCTTTGTGAAGGACAGACCCCACCCCACCAAACAGCTTTGTGTATAAATCCTCTATGAAAGGGATTGGTTATTTATCCAGCTGCAAAAAGTGGTTTACCGTTTGTTTAAAATCCCCCCAAAGGTGAACTGACCCATTAAGCTTCACAATTGGTACGACCTGTGATGCCTGTTCTGCAAACTGGACAGTTTGAGGATTCCTTCACTTTCTAGCCTTCCAATTTCTGCCTGTACTTCTGCATGTAAGGCAAGTGGCACTGGGCGGGCCTTGCAGAATTGTGGAATTGCTTCCTGGTCAAAGTGCAAGATGGCCTTGGCTCCTTTGATAGTCCCAGACCTTCTTATGAGTATTTAACTAGGACTTCACTCAGGCAGCCATTTTCTAATTGAAAAATGTTGAGCCAGTCTAGGTGAATCTTTCTCAACCAATTTTGCCCAAACAGCTTGGGCCTAAGCCCTTTACTACAAACAGTGGTAACTGAACCAGCTGCTTCTCATAAGAGACTGGAAAGAATGTTGTTCCCTTAACCTGTAAAGGTCCCCCAGTATAGCTTCTCAGTCTAGCTGTGGTCTTGCACAAACTTAAGGTTTAGAGCCCAGAACAAATTTTGTTGAAGACTAGTTCTGAGATCACTGAAACAGCTGCACCAATATTGATTTTCATTAGAATCAGGTGACCATTTAACCAGACATTTATTTTGATTGGTTCATATTTGGATCTTGCTAAACAATTTAACTGCTCTAAACCAGAAGTAGATAGCCTTTCCAGGATGTGCACTGTCCTGGATACCAGCTTAGGATCTCTGTTACTTAATTCAGGCTTAGTGGGACTCTTTTACTGTCTCGAGTCCACATACCAGCAAGTACAATTGTTTGCTGGCTGGGATCCTGAAGAAAATGTTAGCCATTTGGCCGAGCCTTGACTTTGTTTTGGGGTTTTGCTGTGGGCTGCCCTAGAGTCTTTCTGTTCAGGATATGTCCCGAGTGAAGCTGTGCCATTGCCTTCACTCGAGTGGTGATCTCTAAGCTCCGTCAGACTGGCAAGGATGTCCACCTCCGTCAGAATACCCTGCAACTCATAAGCTGCACTTGCCACATTTTCCAATGATAAAGTCAGCTGTAGTGCCCGTTTGAATTCCAGTTGAAATTCAGCTACTAGGCACTTTTGCATGGTCACATCATTAATCCCACTCTCATTGCCATTGGGACAACTCCACAGAGGCTGGTATCCCATCACCAAGTCACCCTTTATTTACAAGTGGAGAGTCTCAACACTGATCCACCTTCCTCAGAGTGAGCAAAACCCCGACACTCCTGTTTATATCTGTCAGCCAAGACTCCCTGATTGAGGCTGTTAATCTGGTCCAATCAGAGAACTCATATTCTGTGAGGTCCACCTGGCTGACCTCGTTATAATCGTTACACCTAGGTCACTAAAACCACTAGATAATTTGTCATTTATCATCTAATTGTTTGTGGGACAAATTGCCTGCTTCCTTATATTACAACAAATGAATGTACTGCAAAAGCACTTAACTGGCTGTGAATCCCTTTGAGACCTCCGCAGGTTGTAAATACAGTATGTAAATGTAAGTCTTTGCTTTCTTCCTATCATGTTTCTTCTTGATGGAAGAAGGAAATGGGGAGCATATCAACCTGGGGAGAGTCTCTCACTTTCTTCCATTATCACCTCATCTGCGTTCAGTAGCTAAGGTGATGCTAGTAAGCTGGTACTATTGGCTTCAGGTCCTTCTAGCTGTTGTCCAATCCAGCAGCAATAAAACCTGTAATCCTGTTGCTTGTCAAATTGGTGCCGAAAGAAAGCAAACATACTATGATGGCTCAGCAGGTCTGATAGTATCTGTGAAGAAAAAATCAGAGTTAACATTTCGGGTCCGGTGACCCTGTTCTGAGGAAGGGTCACTGGATCCGAAACGTTAACTCTGATTGTTTCTTCACAGATGCTGCCAGACCTGCTGAGCTTTTCCAGCAACTTCTGTTTTTGATTTACAGCATCCACAGTTCTTTCAGTTTTTACTATAATGGTTTCCTGTTTCACCCAGGGATGGTCCTGCTGCAAGAAAAAGACAACCGACTTCTCAGAATTTCTGGCAATCAAAGTAAGTAGTCTTTAGTATTCTCATTAATACAGAATCTCAGATAAAGTCAGATTACCAAGTTATTTAATATATATGAGTTAATGGAGTCAAGTTTGCTCCCCTGCATCTCTGACTTCAAGTGGAATGTGCCTATTGGGACCTATTTGTGGATGTGACCATAACCATGGTATTATAATGGCTCTGATGTTCTCCCCCACCCCAACACACAGAATCTCCTTTGGTAGGGTTTGTGCCCAGTGGTGAAGGGCACAAGCTATACCTCTGTACTAAGCCTGAGGGAATTACAGTATATGCATAATTGTTTTCAATTTTGTTTCCTTTTGCAGTTGAACAAAATACAAATGAAAAGGCCAGAAGCCATGATACTTGTCTCACTACTTCCTGGTGGGCCTAGTTTCAGCATTACAAGCCTTTTTGGTGCCACCCCGTTCCTTACCTCCCACTCCAGACGTCTACGGATTTTCTCCCTATCTCTTCTCATATCTTCCCATTTTAAGGAATTTGGTTGCTTTGGTCAGAGCTTCTATGGAGACTTGACAGTGACAAGGGATGAGTTAAAAAGCGATGTTGCATCTCCTGTGGTCACTGGGAAGGTGATGTGGGAAGGGGATGCAGTGTTGGGGATGGTGGAGGAGTAATCCAGGATATTATAGAGGAACAGTCCCTTAAGAATGTTGAAGGGAGTGAGGGGAAGATGTGTTTAGTGCTGGCATCATGTTGGAGATCGCGGAAAGGGTGGAGGATGATCCTTTGAATACTAAGACTGTTAGATGATAAGTGACAACAAGGGGAATCCTGGTTCTGGGAGGGAGGGGAAGGGGCAGTAACTGGAGAAGTGTGGGAAATGCATCATACATGGTTGAGGGTCATAACCAACACAGTGAGAGGAAACTTCGATTGACGAAAAAGGAAGACATGTTGGAAGTGTTGTTATGAAAGATTAACCACCATCAGTTGACATTAAATGGTGTTACCACCACTGAAACCGCCACAATTGACCAAAATCTCAACTGGACTCACCACATAAACAGTGGCTGCAAAAGCAGGTCAGAGGCAAGGAATACTCCAGCGAGTAACTCACCTCCTGATTCCCCAAAAGCCTGTCCATCATCTACAAGGCAGAAGTCAGAACTGTGATGGAATACTCTGCACTTGCCCAGATGAGTGCAGCTCCAACAATGTTCAAGAAGCCTGACGCCATCCAGGACAAAGCATCCCACTTGCTTACAAACACATCCACAAGCATCCATTCCCTCCACCACCAATGCTGAGTAGCAGCAGTGTGTTCTATCTACAAGATGCACTGCAGAAATTCACCAAAGATCCTTACACAGCACCTTCCAAACCGACAACCACTTCCACCTAGAAGGACAAGGGCAGAAGGTACATGGGAACACCACCTTAAAAGTTCCTCAAAATCCTGACCTGGAAATATATCGCTGTTCTTTCACTGTTGCTAGGTCAAATGCTGGAACTCCCTCCCTAATGGCATTGTCAGCATATCTACAGCATATGGACTGCAGCGGTTCAAGAAGGCAGCTTCTCAAGGACAACTAGGGACCAGCAATAAATGCTGGCCAGCCAGCGACGCCCAAATCCCACAACACAATAAATAAAAATTGGTAACATCTTTGAAACAAATGTGATGGAGATAGAGAAACTGGGAGAATAAAATGGAATCTTTGCAGGAAGCAGGGTGTGAAGAAGTTTAGTTGTGGTAGCTGTGGAAATTGGTGTGTTTGTAAATGAGAATTAGAAGACAGTCCATCCCACAAAATGGAGCAAGAGAAGCCAAGGAAAGAAAAGGAAGTGTCAGAGGTTGACTAGATGAGTTCAGACATAATTAAAGGCAAAATTGTTTAATTTTTCCAGTTCTGGCCGATTGTAGAAAGCAGCACTAATACAGTCATTGATATGCTAGAAAAAACAATTGGGTCGGAGAAAGAGTAGGACTGAGACAAGGTGACTGGAACTTCTTTCAATCTACTGTACAGCGAAGAAGGTTACCTCAGAGTATAATGGGACCTTATATGTGCAAATGGGTCGAGGAGTGGCAGTTGGAGTATAATTTAGATAAATGTGAGGTGCTGCATTTTGGAAAGGCAAATCAGGGCAGGACTCATACACTTAATGGTAAGGTCCTGGGGTGTGTTGCTGAACAAAGAGACCTTGGGGTGCAGGTTCCTTCAAAGCGACGTTGCAAGTAGTGAAGAAGGAGTTTGGTATGCTTGTCTTTGTTGGTCAGTGCATTAAGTATAGGAGTTGGGAGGTCGTGTTGCGGCTGTACAGGACATTGGTTAGGCCATTTTTGGAATAATGCATTCAATTCTTGCCTTACTGCTATAGGAAAGATGTTGTAAAACTTGAAAGGGTTCAGGAAAGATTTACAAGGATGTTGCCAGGGTTGGAGGGTTTGAGCTATTGAGAGAGGCTGAATTGGCTGGGGCTATTTTCCCTGGAGTGTCGGAGACTGAGGGGTGACCTTATAGAGGTTCATAACAACATTAGGGGCATGGATAGGTGAGTCCAAAAATAGAGGGCATAGGTTTAAGGTGAGAGGGGAAAAATTTAAAAGGGACCTAAGGGGCAACTTTTTCATGTGGACTGTATGGAGGTGGTGGAGGCTGGTATAATTACAACATTTAAGATGGATCTGGATGGGTATTTGAATAGGAAGGGTTTAGAGTGAAATTGGTCAAATGCTGGCAAATGGGACAAGATTAATTTAGAATATTTGGACGAGTTGCGCCACGGGGTCTGTTGCTGTGCTGTATATCTTTATGGCTCTATGACTCTACTGCAGTGTGATTGCTGCTCACAATGAAGTCTCCTATGCACTGGGAGACCAAACAAAGACTGCTTTGTGAAACACCTCCCCTCAGTCCATAAACATGACCCTAACCTTCTGGTCTCTCGCCATTTCGATACACCGTCTTTCTCTCGTGCTAACGTTTCTGATGTGGGTTTGCTGGAATGCTTCAGTGAAGCCCAAGGCATGCTGGAGGAACAGCAACCACACTTTTGCTTAGTCACTTTGCAGCCTTTTAGACTCAACATTTGAGTTCAACAACTTCAGACCATGAACTCTGTCCTCCATTTTGGTTACACCCCCCACATACAATCTCACTGTCTGCAAAGGCAAGTGATGCAAACAACACAGCTCAATAATCTAGGGATTAGAAGTGAAATGATGAAAGTGATTGGTTTGATGATGTATTCTTGCTGTGCCTCAGGGATGCACAAAAGGTCAGCACTCCAACGTAAAGCCTCCAGAGCCTCTGAACCCCGAAATTACACGTAACAAGGATCCGACAGAAAACTCAAAGTCACAGTTTGATGCTGAGTACATCATCAAAGGTCCCAAATCAGCAGAATCAATGAAGAAAGACAGACCAAGGTACCATGGCTGCCAGTTTACTCAGTAATTGCATTGAATCACAAAGACAATCCAGCTAATGCCTGCTTGACTCTCCTATTCAAAAGCCAAAATTATGACAAGAAATAAAACTGTATTACAAACGGTCTGAGTTCCGCCCCGAAAGAGGCATTAATTTTCGAGTCTAATTTAGATATACTGATAGATTTAGGTATTTATTTTATCATTATGAATTTGATAAGTATTTGCAGTAGATTATCTATCTTGTTCTTTTGCTTAAACATACTTATTCAGAAAATGGGTTTGCCACATTGTTGCAAATGGGAGCATTTTTCTGAGATTAGTAAGGCCTGTTTTTGGGACAGTGCAAATCTAAGATTGATAGATTTTTGTTCTTCAAATGTTATTAAGGTGTATGGGAAGTGACAGCTGTACAGCTCGGCCATGATCTCATTGAATGGCAAAACGGGCTCAAGGGCCTAATTGCCTCACTCCTGTTCTTATGGTCCTGAATCTAATCTGGAAGTGATTGATGGAGCACAAGGGAGTTTTCCTCTATATCTAATGTATGCTTTATCCAAACATGAAGCATTTGGTGCATGATGATACAGTATTAGAAGCTTCGTTCGCAATCTTGTATCATATGATTGGACAATACATGGTTTACTCTGCTTCTAACCCATGCTGCTTTTAACTTGAGAGTATTTAACATGGGTGCTGGAGGGTGGTAATCTGCATCTAACCTTTTCTATATTATCCCTGAGAGCGGTGCTGCTGACTATGAACTTTGAATAGTGTGGATTAATCTATTAACAATATAGATCTGAATAGCTGCCTGATGGGTTGCTCTTGTTCATTTTTTTCTTTATTTTGATAGCTCTGATGAACCAATGGTAAAACTGCCTCAGAAAGTCTCAAAGTCACTGCAGGAATCCCTGGAAAAGCTCAGCAAGGCTACTCAGGAGAAAAGCACAACGAGAGGTAAATACCACAAAAAAACGGCAAACAATAAATTTTATTTAAATTGCATCATTAACACAGTAAAATGTCTCACAGGAACATTATAAACCAATAGTTGACACAAAGTCATGTGTAGTGACGTTAAAAATGATAAAGAGCTGGATCATGAAGCTAGGTTTAAAGGGATAATTGAAAGAAAGCAAGAGAGTCGAAGAAGCTTAGGGGAGGAATTGTAGATCTTAGGGCCTAAACAGCAGAAGCTACAGACGCAAATAATGGATGGAATAAAATTGGGATTGTTCAAGAGAAGACCAGAATTAAAGGAATGCAGAAATCTCAAAGAGTTGAAGGAATCCCTAAGTCATAAAGGATGAGACCACGGAGGGATTTAATAACAAAGATGTGAATCGTGAAATTGAGGTCTTGATTAACCAGTTTATTCAGATTCTAAAGGCTGAAATTTCATGCTTAATAAAAGGACAGGTTGGAGCCAAGTCGGAGATTTGAAATTTAAGCATCTGAAACAGGAACTCAATTTGTACCTCTTTAATTTTACCAGAGGAGGGTGGGGATAACCAAGCCACAAGTGGGATGTGGGTTGATTAGTTAAATATTATAATGAGGGTGCATGCCTTCAATTTAGCAGTATTTGCATTTTTTTTTAAACTGATATCAACTGAGTTTCCCAAGTTCTGGGAAGCTGGCAATGAAAGGAGGGGAGAAGGATTAAATCCATGAGGTAAGTGCTTTTATAGAACAGCTTGTAAGCCAGGAGGAACAGGAGAGTTTTTCCAAGGACCCTAAAACCCACCCTTCCACCTTTGTGCTGCCATTAACCACTGTTGGACCCCTAACCACCACCTGCAACCATAGCTACCATTCGACATCCCTGGCTGTACTTGAAACTACCACCCCTAAAGGACCGTAACAACCCCCATACCCCCTCATCCATGATCAGAAATTCTGCAGTGATTGGGACCATCTTATGAATGGAACACCATGGCCACAGGTGTTCCCTCCTGCCCCACCTTTTCCCATCTACCCCTGCAAACAGCAATTGTGATCCCACCCATTGTCCAACCACTAACTCCTTTATTCCCCACTAAACATGTATGTCCTCCTTGGATATGGCCTAGCAGTGCTGGAGATGTCCCCGCCCAAGCAGCCTCCAACCTACCAATCTTTGCCTGCATGAAGGAAACTGGCACAAAAATATTTATTTGATTTCTCTGACCTGAAAACGTGCATAGATTGTGCCTCAGAACTATAGTCTAGGCCTGTAAATCTATTCATGTTTTTTTTAATATTTCATGCTTGGGGTATAGACATTGCTACTAAGGCCAGCATTTATTGTGCATCTTTAATTAACCTGAAGAAGGTGGTGATGCCTTCTTGAACTAAAGTTTGTGTGGTGAAGGTGCTGCTAGGTCAGGAGTTCAGTATTTTGATCCTATGACAATGAATGAACAGATCGGGATGATGTGTAGCTTGGAGGAACTTGGAACTAAAGATGTTCTAATGCAATTGATGCCCTTGCACTTTTTGCTGGTGCATTGGTTTGAATGTTTTGTTGAAAGTTCTGCTCTCATTGGGTCCAGTGAAGCGTAGTTCCTGTGCTGCTGGAGCAGGGGACAGAGATTTCAAAAGTGCTGATAAGTATGCTTGAATTTACATTTGGGCCCATAGCCAAAGAAATTCAGTGTTCCTTAAAGTAGATCAGCAGGTGAGGTGGGAGTTTAATCCAAGATAGAATAATCAAATGTTGGCTCTGTATAGGATGGGTTTGATGGTGACTAAGACTTTTACTTCTTCAGATTTAATAGACGAGACTGGCTCAGAATAGAGTTTTAAAAATCGGACTATGAAGGTGGATATTCTGAAATCTTGGTGGACATCAAGAAGTACCTTGTGCAGACATACCATATTCCCTTGCGTGATTAAGCAAGTCCATAATGTCCTTCGTTTGTGTATATGTGCTATTAAGAAGAAATGGACTTGAAACGCCAAAGGGATTTTCATATTTCCATCCTTTCTTGTGTTCGTAACTCCATTCTGTAAACATATTATTAATCCAGGCCAAAAGGCAATATCACAAAACTGCTTAATAAAATTAAATCCATGATATTGATCCACCGCTTTTTGGTGACTAGATTGACTATGTTGAAGATAAATTGGCAGTAAGTTTTGATAAGAACTTAAAACAGCATATGATGAAATTGAACCTATATTATTTCCTATTGCAGAGGAGGCACCCAGTAGTGAACTTAAAGTGGGCACTTCATGTAAACATGCTGGCTGTAAGGAGGTATGTTAAAATGTCTAACTCCTTTTTATAAACATGAAGACTTTGTTTCACATTTTTCTCTCCTTTGATGAAGGCTTATTCCCCACTCCACTCTCCCTGACTGAGAGTACAGTTAAGTAACCTGGTCACCAGATCTCTGCCATCTGCTTCGGAGGTAGTGGCCCAATGGATAGCCCAGGTGGCAACTATTTTTCCAACAGTTTTTTTTTCTTGTGGTGAAATGCTTGGAATTTGCTTGAGTATATATCTACAATCTACTCATTCATGGCCATTACCTCTTACCACCTTCTTGAGTGCTATAGATGCTATGGGAACAGTAGCACAATGGTTATGTTATAAAATCCCTACTGTGTGGAAGCAGGCCATTTGGCCATTGCATCCACACTAACCCTCCGAAGAGCATTCCACCCAGACCTACCCCCATACCCTATCCCTATCGCTCTGAATTTCAAATGGCCAATCCACCTAACCTGCACATCTGTGTACTGTGAGAGGAAACCCATGCAGACGTGGGGAGAATGTGCAAATTCTACATAGCTGGCTGAGGGTAGGATCGAACCCAGGGCCCTGGCGCTGCAAGACAGTAGTGCTAACCACTGAGCCACCATGCCACCCAAATATATTATGAAATGAGTATTACAGAGGCCTAAGGGGAGTAAATCTGCTATTCCTGACTACTCCAGCCTGTATGTGACTGAAGACCCATAGCGAGGTGGTTAGCTCTTTGCTGCCCTCTAGAATGACCTAACAAGCCAGTCAGTTGTATTCAAGAAGATGGTTCTCCACCAGCTTCTCAGGGGAAGTTAGGAAAGGACAATAATTACTGGTCTTGTCAGCAATGCCCATATCCCATGAATAAGTAAAAATAACATTTAATGTATTAACATATCACAGAAATATTATCAAACCAAGTTTGTCATTGCACCATAAAAAGGGTTCATAAAGCAGGTTACTAAAGAGAGTTTTGAAGGAAGAGATGGGGAGGTAATTGGTACCAAGAAATTGAAGGATGCAGTTCCAGAGCTTAGGGCCTAACTATCATTGGTCATTGAAATATTAACCCAAGAGAAGATGCAGGGCTAGCCATACATCCTTAACTTCATTGTGTTCTTCTCTGTGTTCATTTTTCTTTCACAGACATTTCAAGGGCCAGATAGTGATCTGGAGACATGCAACTTTCATCCTGGAATTCCCATCTTCCACGAAGGGTGAGTTTATATTGTAATAAAGTAATATACAACTCCTCCATTTAAACCACTGAGGCTTATATTTTTATAGGAATAATCAGTCTTTCAGTATCTTGCCTTAATGACAGTTCATGATGTGCAAGACAACATATGCCATCAGATTATTTGACTACAGAGGGTATCACAACCAGGATAACCTTCAAGACTAACACATCCATTTAGCAGCAGAAATCAATGGTTAGCAATCAGCAGTGAGAGCCTTTGCTGATTTTCACTTCCTTAGCCCCAGGACACGAAGGTCAAATGTAATACTGTCATGGCTATCTCAACTGAGATTAACTAACTTAGGACAGGCCGTGGTTAGAGCTTGGACTCTTCCTAATCCATGTGATTTGCTATTCTGTGGTTAATTACCTCCTGAGCTATCGGGAGTTCCCTTCCCGTCATCTCTTTTCAATCCTGTTTATTTTAATTTGTATATGGTTTGTAGGAAAGTCAGTGTCTGGGAGTAAACCACATTCCAAAACATAATATTGAAAAATACAAGAACAAAGCACAGGATAGAATGCAGAAGAAAGGATAACTTCAGCATTTCCAGCGTTATCTTGCACTCAAAAGTAGTGCAAATTGGGGAATTAGGACTCTTGGGAGTGAGGTCTAATTCTAGGGGAATAATATCACCACATTCACCTGTAAATCCCGTTACTTAAAAAGAGCCACAACAGGTAGCAGCACACTGTCAGAATATGACCAGGGGACAGCTTTGCCATGGCATGGTAGAGGTAAAGTTACCATAGTTTTACCAGACTGTCAGGCTTCTGTCTCATTAGAGAGGGTCGACAGGTGGTTGTGACCACACCTCAGCCAAGGGGAAAGATTGACAAGACGAGTCTTTCATGGTGACCTCAGCCAAGTCAGTTAGCTTGGTTGGTTGGACAGCTTGTTTGTGATACAGAGTAAGCATGATAGACGATGGTGACTAGGGCAATTGCTTCTGATAGGAATGGAGAAAGGGAATATTGGAGCATCATTGTATGGAATCTTCTGTTCCTGGAAGTGGAGGCTTGAAGATGAGAAGGACAGTTATTTGGCAGGGCATTAACAATGCAAAACCTCCTTGCTTCTACCAGAATTAAGTTATTAGCAGGATGGCTTTCAGCTCATGCTCCCCAGCACCAATTAAGGCCAATAAGGACCACTTAAGGGCATCAGCCCCCTCATTTCTGGGATTAATCCAGATGCAGATGGGCCAGTCGATATAGCATTCTTGATACTGCTACTTTGGAGGCAGCCTGTCACCTTGGGATGGAAGAATTCCCTTGTTCAAAGGTAATTAGTGCTTGACTGAGGGACTGGACTTCACGTGGGGGATGTGTCTTTCAAGAATCACTCCTCTGCTCTGTGACCTCCCCACCCTCCAAAGTTGAGAACACACCTCTCCCCCCTCCATTACAACTTTGCCATAGCTCCTCTGTCATCTTGGGACTCTGGATCTGATCATCTGTTAGCAGCACAACCACCTACTTGGTTCCACTGAGCACACGCATGTCCGGTTTCTGATTGACTGGCAGTTCTTACTGGATAAGATTTCCAGCCCTGGGATCTTGATTCCCTGGGCAGACCTACCGGTGGACTTGCTACTGCCTGATCAGCATGTGATTGGGGTGACCTTTCCCTAGGAGTGACAGCACAGACTCCAGCCAGCAAATGTGACCTCTGATGCCACACCTAATTTCCCTCCCATTGAATGAAGAGAATTATTAATATTGAGATGATTCATTGCAGGAAGAGTGAGAACCAATACCATTCATGACTTCTCACATACTGAAGCAGAGCATAGGCAGCAGGATTTGGACAATATCCAAGCCTGGGCTGATAAGTGGCAAGTAACACTTGTGTGAAAATGCCAAACATTGATCATCTCCAAACAAAATTAATTTAGCCATCTGTCTGACATTCAACAATGCCATTACCACCTCTGAGTCCCCAGCATTAGCATTGTAACTGGGGCAGCCATTTTAATATGGAGGCGACAAGAGCAACTGGTGGCAGGGAATTCTGTGATGAATAACAACTCCTGACTTTCCAAAGTTTGTCCACCATCTATAAGGTACAATTCAGCAGCGTGATGGAGTACTGTCCAATTGTTTGGATGATAATAGAACAGTACAGCACAGGAACAGGCCCTTTTGCCCACCATGCCTGCACCAACTATGATACCTTGCTAAACTAATTTGATCTGCCTGCACTTGGTCCTTATCTCTATATCCTCTGCCTGTTCATGTGTTTGTCTAAATGCCTCTAAACATTGCTTTTGTATCCGCTTCTACAACCTCCCCTGGCAACATATTCCAGGCACAAGCCACCACAGTAAAGTTCTCTGTGTAAAAAAACTTTCCTTGCACATCTTCTTTAAACTTTGCCTCTCTCACCTTAAACCTATTGACCATAGTATTTGACATTTCTATGCTGGCAAAAAGACTCAGACTATCCATCTTATCCATCCCTCTCATAAACTTCTATCAGGTCAACCCTCAGCTTCTGATGCTTCAGTGAAAACATCCAAGTTTGTCCAACTTCTCATTATAGCTAATACCCTCCAATCCAGGCAACATCCTGGTAAACCTCTTTTTCACACCCTCCAAAGCCTCCACATCCTACAGCGTGGTGACCAGAACTTTACACAATACGCCAAATGTGGCCAAACTAAAGTCATGCAACACCTCTTGCCAACTTTTATACTCAATGTCCCGACTAATGAAGGCAAGTACGCTGTATGACTTCTTAACCACCTTGTTCACTGGTGTTGCCACTTTCAGGGAGTAGTGGCCTTGCACACTAAGATCCCTCTGTATATCATTACTCCTGAGGGTTGTGCTATTTACTGGGTACTTTCCTCTTGCATTTGACTAATCAAAATACATCACCACACACTTGTCTACGTTATGTTCCACCTGCCATTTATCTGATCAACTTTCCAACTGATCTATATCTTGCTGTATCCTTTGACAACCTTCCTCACTATCTACAACACCATCAATTTTTGTGTCGTCTGCAGACTTACTGATCTGATCACTGGCATTTTCTTTCAATTCATTTATTTAAACAACAGAAGTCCCAGTCCTGATCCTCGTGGAACACAACTGGTCACAGACTTCCAGTCAGAAAAAATTACTCCTCCACAACTACCCTCTGTCTTCTGTGACCAAGCCATTTACCAACTCACCATGGATCCCATGTGACTTAAATTCTGGACCAGCCTACCATGAAGACCTTGTCAAATGCTGTCATAAAGTCCATGTAGACAACATCCACTACCCTATCCTCATCAATCATCTTCATTACTTCCTCAAAAAGTTCAATCAAGTTTGTGAGACAAGATCTGTCCCAGACAAAGCGGTGTTGACTATAAGTCCATTCTTTTCCAAATGCAAGTAAATCCTGTCCCTAAGGATCTTCTCCAATAATTTCTCTATCACTGATGTAAGGTTCACTGGCCTACAATTTTCTGGATTATCCCTGTTGCCTTCCTTAAACAAAGGAACAACATTGGATATTCTCCAGTCTTCTGGGACCTCGCTAAGTAGATACGAAGATCTCTGTCAAAGCCCCAGCAATCCCTTCCCTTGACTCCTTCAGGATCTTGGGATAGATCCCATCAGGCCCTAGAGACTTATCTACATTATCGTTTTGCAAGATACCCAACACCTCTTCCTCCTTAATATCAACATACCCCTCCCTAATCTACCGTCATCCATGTCGTTCTCCTTGGTAAATACAGGTGCAAAATGCTCATTAAAGATAATCACCAATTTCCCTTGGCTGCACACATAAATTCCCTCCCTTATCATTGAGTGAACTTATCCTTTCCCAAGCTACCCTCTTGCTCCTCATTTATGTATAAAATGCCTTGGGACTCTATTTAACCCTGCTTGCCAAGGACATTTCATGCCCCTTTTAGCTCTCGTAATTCCTTGTTTAAGTTGTTTCCTGCTCCCTTTATATTCCTCAAGGGTCTTGTCTGGTTTCAGTTTCCTAAACCTTACATATGCTTCCTTTTACATTTTGACTAAACTTTCAATACCTTGTCATCCAAGGTTCCCGAATCTTGTCATTCTTATCTTTCACACTCACAGGAACAGACTAGTCCTGAACTCTGATCAACTGGCCTTTAAAAGACTCCCACATGTCAGATGTGGATTTACCTCAAACAGCCACTCCCAATCTAATTTCTCCAGTTCCTGCTTAATACTGTTGTAATTGGCCTTCCCCCAATTTATCACTTTCATCTGAGGTCCAGTCTTATCATTATTGATATAAAAACTGAAAGAACTGCGGATGCTGTAAATCGGGAACAAAAACAAAGTTGCTGGAAAAGCTCAGCAGGTCTGGTAGCATCTGTGAAGGAAAAAACAGTTAACGTTTCAGGTCCGGTGACCCTTCCTCA